ACCTGCACACACACACGCACACACACACACACACAAATATACACCTCCTCCCAGGAATCCTACCCTCTTGGGACTCATGGCTGATTGATTACCTCTCACCATTTGCCCCATTGCTTAGCTTTAGGGACCCCACCCCCATTCTAAACACTTTATTGCTGCACTTCCAATACAGGATATAGCCATGTACTCTCTACTTCCTCTTCCTGTGAGACTAAGAAAAGTCTCTTCTTCCAGACCCACTTCCTTTCTCTACAAGCATCGAAGAGAATCCCAAAGACATTATTATTCTTCCAAGACACACGAGGTTACTTATGACCTGTATCCTGGCAACGAACAGGTGGATGGATGAATGAGTGAGAAGCTGAGTAACAGAGAGAAAATATTTAGATCACAAATAAAAATAAATTTAAATCTTATTTAAAAAAGAATTTAATCAGAGACAATGATTCCTTCCCTTCCAGAATCTAACACTGTGTACATGTGTGGAATTATCTAAGAATGAATTTAATCAAGAAAAAAACCAGACAACAAAGACTTTTAAATTCTGGATTATAATTCTAGTATGTTTTGGTATTGATTTTTATGCAATATATTTTAAAAGTTTGAAATTGCTAAAACCAAGTATTTAATGCTTTATTTTAATTACCAATAAAATTACACACATTTAGGCATACAAAAAACGAATTTAATTTTAAAAAAAATTCCTGGGAAAACAAGATTTTGGATGGATGAAGGCTTAGAGCCGAGCCATACACGGAGGATGCCAGGGAAAGGAGATATCAAAGTGCCGCTGTAGAAAATGAATGATATCAGATTTGGAAAGAGTCCCCATGAGGGCTGAGAGAAAGAGAAAACAAAGAGGCCGAGACAAACTAGAGGCCCAGGACATAATGTTGGCAGGGAGGATGTGAGGATTCGGTTCAGAGTGGCCCAGGTACATCCAGGTGGGAATATTTGCCAGCAGATGGAAACTGGCTACTAGAATCTGGGCAGGAAGTCAGGAGCAGAATGGGTTTGGCAGGTATTCCATGCTTAACCTGGCATCAGGCCGACCTATACACCACCAAAAAGCAGCTCTTTTGGCGGCTTGTGAAAGAGCTACACAGAGCAGTGGCTTCTTTGTTTTGTTGTTGTTGATCTTTCTTTTTCCATCGTGTGTGTGTGTGTGTGTGTGTGTGTGTGTGTGTGTGTATGTGTGTGTGTGTGTGTATGTGTGTGTGTGTGTGTGTGTATGTGTGTGTGTGTGTGTGTGTATGTGCCCATGTATGTGCGGGTATGTAGAGAGCCAAGGTTGATGGTGGGAATCATCCTCAATCTTCTTTCTTAGTCATCGAGGCAGGATCTTTCAATCAAGCCCGGAGCTTGTCTCTTATGGCTGGTCTTGTTAGCTAGCTTGCTCTGAAGATCCCTTGTTACTTCCTTCTGAGGCAGGGAAATTACAGGTGGGCCACCATGACTACCTGATACGCAGGTGGGGTTCTGTGGATCCAAGCTCTAGTTCTCACATGTGCGGCAAGCTACCTACCGAGCCATCTCCTCAGTGCCTATCCTTGGTGTTGCTAGCCCTGTCTTCTAGAATGCCGACCTATGGTTTCCATGCACAGTTAGGTCTATTCTGCCTTTCAACAGTGTTTGGTCCTGTGCTGATCATACAGCCTCGGCCATTCCTAAGTTGGCATGCATCGCTATCTTTTGCTTGTTAGATTTTTTTTTTTTTTTGAGACCAGATCTCACTATGTAGCCTGCCCCTTTAGCCTGGAATCATAGGTGTGTACAGGGAAGCCTGGCTTTGGCTGCTACCTTTATAGCAACCCTGCAATGTCTATAGTGAGACTACTTTTACTATTTATAACTACAGAAAGCAGGGCATGGGGTCTCAGCAGACTGTGGCCTGCATGAAGTGGTTTCTATTTATAATTCATTCAGTGAATCACGGCGATTGGTGCCATTCAACAATCCTGTTACAGAAAACAGTATCTGCCAATGCTAAGGGATGGTACTGGCTGGGATTATGGTCAGAGTTTCAATCAACTTTTTTGTACTTTCTCTGGTGGGTTCATGGGTGGGGCATCTTTCTCTAGCCATTCTTCTCTCTAAGCTGGGAGTGAGCCACCCAGCTAGCTGCTCACCGGGCTGAATAAGCATTATGCCTGCCTAGTGGCCTTTTGCCTGGTGCTCAACATGCCCAGTGACAAGAGCATGTCACACCACCCGCAGGGGCTTATTAAACCTGGAAGCTTGCTCAGGGAGGACGAAGGGGGAAGAAGAGTACAACTTCGCTTTTCTCATCGATTTCTCATTCTGGGTCTCTGACTACATCAGACAAGAAGGATCAAAGTGTATTGAGGCGAGAAGCAACAGACGACTCTCGGTAGCTCAGAACAACAAAAGTTTATGTCTTGTTCTCAGTCTGCCCATCACAGGTTGCCTTGGGGCCTCTCTCCTTACTTACGGTGTCAGAATGATGGAGTATACCCATTGTCGTAACTGTTCTTTACCTTGTCAGAGAGAACAAAATAGGACTTTGGGACATTTTTCATTGGCTGTTAAGTGTTCCAGGCTTCTCGTATAGTTTCCACTCACAGCCCATGGGGCCTCTTCCAACTGCTGGGATCTGGGACACAACGTCTTATGCTCCAAAGGCCAAGGAGTGACAAGGAGGGGTGGTCCAGAGGCCCATGGTGCTGGCCAGTGCAGGTGGCCTGGTTAAGCTCCATCTGGTCTGGAAGGAATAAGATCCTTACATCATCCATATCAGTGTGACAAGGGATACTGGAGAAGTGGTCAGGATAGTAAGCACACCACAGGACACTGCTGCTGTGTGAAGTCTCCTGGGGCTAAGGGGAGGAGCCTGCTCAGTGTTTTAGTTACAATGCAGAATACTAAAAGGATTTGCTAGCTTTTCTCCTCACGCCTAAAAGGCGAACTGGCCTCTATTAAGCAGTTTCCTTCACACAGGGACTAGTGACAGATCCTCCCCACTTGTCACGACTTCTGCCATCAATGAAGTCTCAAAGAAAGAGGAGCCACGTGATTGATAGAGTGACATGAATTCTGAACTGTCATCGTTCAGAGGTTTGTCATTGGCCTTGGAGATGGGAATGGAGCTGTAATGGCTGATTCAGGCCCAGAGTAGCTGTCTCTAAACATGTTAATTACTTGGCATAAGTGCTTGGAAGTGACGGTTACAAAATTTAGAGATGTATATGGCAGAGCAGGGCTGGCATGGTAGCTCCAAGAACGTGGTCTTTCTCTATGTGTGGGAGGCAGCTGGGTGATGCCCTGCTGGGTACAGATAAAGCTGGCAAGGACAACTTTGAGGTCTTCTAAGGAGAAATGATGAGACATGCCCCCAACCACATAATTGAGATTCAGGTGCAGGGTGTGCCTGGTTCACCCCCTGGAGTCATGACCTTGGAGGAACAGTGCTTGTGTCTGAGTCCAAGATCACCGACTGAGTAACTTAAGGTTAATGCGCTTCACTCTCCACCAGATAACAAAGATGGCCCCCAATTACAAAATACATTTCTCACATGTGTCCTGTATGCACATTTGTTTTTAATGTGCGAATACGTCCTCATCTTCCACAGGAGCCAGGCTGGTCAGGTAGCTCATCTGCCTACAGTGAAAGGCTAAAGTCAAGTTCTGTACCCAAGCAGATTGGTCTGAAGCAGCTGTTGCCACCCACAGAGATCTAGGTCTGTAAGCACAGACTGCATCTCACGGGCCACCTAGCCATGCTATAGACGCATGGGACAGGTCAGGCCAGTACATTTGGTCACATGTGTTGGGAAACATGCAAAGCACATTGCAAAGGGAGACTGGAATAGGATAGACCCTGGCCGAGTCAGACCGCGGAGTGCTTGAGTATATACATGTGTGTCAGGCATGGGAGAGAACCCCTGTAGCTAGATCATGGGACGGTCTCTAAGGCTGGGTCAGAAAACATGCCATGGCAGAGTTGGTGGGATGATTCAGCAGGTAAAGACACTTGCCACCAAGCCTGATAACCTGAGTTCTGTCTACGGAACCCACATGGTGGAGGGAGAGAACTGTTTCCCACAAACTGTCTTCTGACCTCAACGCACGTACTATGGCACAGATGCAGGCGTGCACACACACACATGTAATATTTTTTTCGTCTTTCAGACGACTGTCGGTGAATTAGAACTTAAGTATTTCTCTTCTTCTGTAAGTTTATGAAAGGGATCAGGTATGCAGATGGGTGGTGCAGGAGGGGATGGGAAGGGCTTCCTTTAGAAACAAGTTTGAGATGGTCCTTGAAAGAGAGCGTTTGTTGGAAGACTAAAGCATTCGTGATGGTCTAAGTGAGGTGCACAGGCCATGCACATGCGTGTTTGTGTGTGTATATGCATTCTGCCTGCATGAATGTGTTTGTATACCTATAGCTTTCCTTACTGAAAGGGGTTGAATTTCCTCCTTCTAGTCATCTTTAGCTTACAGTTTTCATCTATGTCACATGTACCCACCCAGAAGAGATGTCCTTCTTCCAGTTGGCTGCTCTTCCATCTGGCCCCTCTGAGTCTGAGTTCATCTCTCTTCTTTCACATAGAGGTGACCTGTCTTCACCATTGCTACTTGGTATTACTACTCTCAGGATATTATTGATCTGCCTATCATCAGCCATTGCTGTTCTGTGTTAGGAACTCCTGACCTTCCTGTATTGGGATTAAACACACCTATTAGCTAGAGAAGGGCACAGAGGAGCCAAAAACACAGGTGGCAGGTGATACAGAACACTACTAGCTTTTCCAGACAGCCCAGGTACTGGAGAAGCTCCTCCCTTATTCCCAGGCAAGGACAGAGGGCCTGTGTCCAGTTGGGATTGGGTCTAAAACACGGAGCATTTTCCCGATGTGGTCAGTCACAGGGAAGTGGCTATGCTATAGGGAGGACCTGTGCCTGGGAGGCAGTGAATGGGTGGCGTGCTTCCTCGCTCTGACCAGGCCTGTGTGTGTGTGTCTCTGCTCCCTCTTCAGTTGGTGCTGCCGGAGTATTCCATCCACAGCCTCTTCTGCATCATGTTCCTGTGTGCTCAGGAGTGGCTCACCCTGGGGCTGAACGTTCCCCTGCTTTTCTATCACTTCTGGAGGTAGGTCTGTCGGGGACTGGTCCCTCCTCCTTCACCTCTCCACCCAACGACAGTGTGCCAGGATAGATGAACACTCTGACCTTGTTATGAACACTCTGACCTAAGGACTTTAGAGAAGACGCAGGCGAGAGGTCACAACTCATTATTGAGGGGCAGGAACTCAAGCAGAAGCTCGAAGGCAGAAATGACAGAAGACTGCTTCTTGCTGCCTCGCTGGCAGACTCATGTTCACTAACTTTCCTATGTAACTCAGGGCCACCTGACGAGGGAATGGCACCACTTACCTGCAGTGGGCTGGGTCCTCCTACATCAGTCAGCAGTCAAGACAATCCCTCATTGACGTGCCCATAGGTCAGTGTGATCCAGGTAGTTCCTCAGCTTAGGGTCTCCTGTGAGGTGACTATAGGTTATGTCAGACTGACAAACAAAGCCATCTAGAACAAACTTACTCTCCAGAGCTGGAAGTAAATCCTCTTGACTCTGTTAATCAACCCCAATCCTGCAGGTAAGTGTGAAAAGCAGCTGCAACATTAGTCACTGTATCCAACACATGGAAACAAGGCTGAAGCCTCTTAGCTGATGAATGGGTAAAGAAAATGTGGTCTATCCATACCATGGAACATTATTGATACCACACCCAATGATCACACATTATATGAGTCTGTTGATACGAGATTTCCAGAATTTTCAAATCTATAGAGACTTAAAGTGAACTAGTACTTTCCAAATGCTGAGGGGAAATAGGAAATGGCTTCCAGTGGGTAATTTGTTTGAAGGTAAGGCTAATGAAAATACTCTGAAGGTCGATAGTGGTGACAGATGTACAACTCTATCAATATACTAAAATTCACCAAATCGTATATACACATTAAAAGGGCAAACTTTGTGACGTTTAAGTTTTCTCCTTTTTTTAAAAAAGCACCTTCTAGTTGTGCCAGATTTCCTGGGACAGTTATGGTGTTAAATATTCTCTTCTAAGACTGGGCTTTAAATCACATGGTGTAGGTTTTCTGTAGGACGCATATGGAGCAGAAGTGGGAAACACTAGAGAAGTGGAGATTATAATTGTGTGAATCAGTTTCCTTCCTTGAACCCTTTAGTCCCAGAGCTCTGGAACCCCAAGCCAGTTGGTCCATCATTGCCGTTTTCCCATAAAATACAGCTTTGAATTGGCCACACCTAGAACAGTCCACTCTGTCGCTAAGAAAGGTATGGAGCACACACTGCTTGCTAGGCATAGAGGGGAACTCCTAAATGGAAATATGTATGAATCTTCATCCTAGGTACAGCTTAGCAGCAGAAGGAATTACATTCTTAACAGACATATGAGGACGATGTATAGGAATGCAGGGAAAGAAACACTTAAGTTAGTCTGAAGAGTGTAGAAAAATCTAGAGACGCATGCGTGAAGATCCAGACATGAGAGAGTCCTTGACAGGCTCGGGGGACCATTTTATCTTTCCGCATGGCTGGAGAGGGGCTCTTGGAGGGCCCACTTGATGAGCCCCTGAAAATCTCATGTGGAGAGTCCAAGAGGATTTGATGGAGAGCGCGGGGCCTGTAGGGGCTGGAAAGCCATGAGGAATTCTGGAGGAGGAAAATGGCTTTGCTTTCGAGCTCAGAAGCTGATCCTGGCAGAGTGTGAAGGATGGACCAGTGGTGATATATCGAAGTCAAAATTGTAATTAGGAACACAACAGAACTCCAGGTGAAGACATAAAGGAGCTGAGATAACGAAGATGGGTCCTGGCCAGGGAAAGTTGGCTCGGCGAGAGAACAGAACTTTGGAGTGAACGGAACAGGCTTTGGCCCAATGACTGACGAGGGAGAAGGAACCTCTGAGCTAGATCACCTCGCCTGTGAGAGCCCAACTGTGCCCCCTCCACCTCATGGGCAGCCCCGGGCTGGATCTCCTCCCTACAAAAGAAATTTCTCCCAAGGGTCTTGAAGTCCTGATTTGTAGATGAAGCCTAGCAAAGTGTGTGTGACCCATGGCTGGGGAGGTGGCTCTGTGGGGAGTCCTGTGCTTGCTGCACAGGCAGCCTTGGGTTCCACCTTCAGCCCCACCTGTGAAAATAAAAAACAAGCAGTCAACTTGTGAATGCTGGATCTGTGCTCTCTTCTTAGACCTGGCACTTGTCCCAAGGAAGGACAAGGAAAGCTGGCCGTTGTTGCCACCCTGCAACGTGTGTGTGAAGATGGAAACAGCCATGGTCTCGCTGCCCGTAGAGACCTGGCCTTGGTTCTTGGATCCCTGGTGGCCTAGCCCTACTTACTCTTAGGAAGTCATCAGATCGCAAGAGACAGACAGACAGACTGAAGACAGAAGTCCTTAGATACCTAGAGTCCCGTTTCTCTCTTTTCCTTTTCTCTTTCCCTGCCCCCACCTGTGTTTATGTATATGCGCATGTTTGGGGTTCAAATGACAACTTCCGGTATAATTCTTCTTGTAGTACTATCTACCTTTGGTGAGGGGATGGGGGCAGCAAAGACTCTTGGTAGCCTGAAACTCACTTAAGTAGGTTAGGCTGGCTGGCCTGTGAGCCCCAAGGTGCACGTGTCTGGACCTCTCCAGTGCTGAAATTAAACCTCACATCACCAGACCCAGCAAATGTGAGCTTTGGATGCTGGACTGAGGTCCTCCGCTTGCAGCAAGCACGTCACAGACTAAGCTAACACCCCTGGCCTGTCTGCCTCCTTTCTGTCAGGCCGATGCTTTGGCATTTCTCTTACAGACAGGTCTACCCTGGCATTCACTTTGCTTCAGTCAAACTGGCCTGGCCACCACCTTTTAGTGGCTATTTAGGAGGCTGTTTGCATACATCTCCTTACATCAGCATCACAATTTGCGTCTCCATTTTCTGGCTGAGCCCAGGATGGGTTTGTGATGGATCCAGGAAAGGACAATCTGGTGAGCAACAAATAAGAGTCGGTCCTTTCCACCAAGCCATTTGGTCACCCTGATGCTCTGCCTCCACTTAATGAGGTCACCTGGGAACAAAGCCACAGTGACAGCAAATAGGTTTGAAATCTGCTCTGGAGAAGAGGAGAGGTGAGTGGCCCAAGGGCTCTGAGCGGGCAGTTGTCATCGGATCTGGCTTCTGACGTCCTCTTAGCATAGTGTTGGTGACAGATACTGTCAATGCCATTCTCTGAAGGGGAAGGACGAGGTGACTGAAATGCCAGCTCTGCAGGTATGTGCTATCATGGCAGCCTTCAGGTCAGGGCCATGCCTGGTGCGTCTTCAGGATGGAGAACCACTACTATTCCAGGCCCGACAGGGGAGGCAGCTTGGACCCCTGCCTCTAAAAACCAGCCCTGGGCCATTCCAGCTGCACTGGGGTCTTGGGCTCCACAGGGAAGATATGTCCTGCAGTCGGTGGGACATGAACTAAGAGATGCAGACACGGACAAGGGCCCCATTTGTTGTTCGAGCCCCCTGGGCCTTGGTTCGCAGCTGTGGAGTTGATGTGGCTGTGACCTTTGATGAGGACTCTTCCAATTACAGTTCTCTTTCCCAGCTTCCCCAGAGATGGTCAATGTTCTGTTTGCTCTTCCGGCCCCTCTATCAAACAACAACAACAAAACTCCCATACCCTTTGAAATGACTCTATAATGTTTCCCCATGGTATTTAGGGGTTTAAATGAGAGTCTGGGGAGGGGGAAATAGCCCAAGGCACTTAGTATTCAAGGCAGAATGTAGCCACTGAGGGGGTGGTGATACAATTCTTCCACCATGTCTTGACCCAAAGGGAGCTCTTGGTGCTTCCCAGGCTATCAGAGTCATCCTCAAGCAGAACGGCGTTCTTTAGGCTCCTAGTTTAAGGGAATACAGCCTGCCACGGTGAAGTCATGGTGGCTGGGAGTCTGTCTGTGACAGCAGGAACTTTCAGTGTTATTTGTTACATCTCAGAAGATGGAAGCAGGGAGCTGGGATGGGAAGTGGGGCTGTCCTATAACTTTCTCTACTTCCTCCAGTGAAGTCCTACCTCCTAAAGCTTCCATACCCTCCGCACACACAAGACAACTAGCTTGGTACCAAGAGTGCCCACACATGAGCCTCTGGAGGAGAGTTCACATCCAGACCATAATACTGGGTGACACGTTTCCTTCTGTCAGAGCCCCTTCATATGATACCAGGGACCCGCCGGAAGGTCATGGCCGAGTTGCGCTATGGCAATGGTTGGAATCTGACTTTGGCAGGAGGCACAGATTTTCAGGGACAAGTCAGATGCTAGGGGGCCTTGGCCTGACAGCATGGGGAGCCCCGAGCCTTAGACATCACTGTCCTGTTCTCTTTCCTGTAGGTATTTCCACTGTCCAGCAGACAGCTCAGAACTAGCCTATGACCCACCGGTCGTCATGAACGCAGACACCTTGAGCTACTGCCAGAAGGAGGCCTGGTGTAAGCTAGCCTTCTACCTCCTGTCCTTCTTCTACTACCTGTACTGGTGAGTCCTGCCTCTTTCTGGCTTTGGTCGCAGCAGCAAAGGGAAGGGATTTCAGGCTGGCCTTGGAGAGGCAGCTTTGGGGGAAGTGGCCCTTGACTGCAGATCTTAGCCAGCTGAATCTGGTCCCACTTGTCTAACCTTGACTCAGGAGCAAGGGTTTCTGAGGAAGGAAGATGCCTCTGCTCACATCTTAGCAACTCGGGGAAGCATCTAATAACATCTCTTAGGAGGCAGCGGAAGGGAAGGACTGTCAAGGGCTTCTTCCCAGCAGGGCTTCCTGCCCTTCAGAGCCCAGCAGCTCAGCCCACTGGGTGCCAGTGAACCAAGGAGCCCAACCTCATTATCCTCTACCCTCAGCTTGTCTGTGAAGGTTCTTGGGTACTGTAGGAGGGGCTTTCTCCCTCCAGTGGCACTCACACCCCGCAGAGTGGCACATTGGGTCATTAAGTGCTTAGGCAGCAACTCCTCCGTGTTTCATAACACCGTCCTAATTGAGCAAATCCTGCCGACTTTGCAGCTCCGCTTCCGGGTCCCTCTCTTCCCTTCATCCCTTGAACACCCTAGCTCAGCAGAGAGCCATGAGCTGTCATCCTGTGGTCTGGACTCCTGAGGCTCCTCATTCTGGAAATATCTCCTGTTCCCTTTTGTACTCATTTCTGGGACCTTTTCCTGATCACCTTGCTATCTTGTTCTTCCTTTGGCAGGGTCATGGATGTCCCCAAACACCCCAGTGCTATCTCTGCAGAGGCAGAAGAGGGTGGGGGTGCTAACTTCAAGCCAACCCTCGGTTCAGGTTGGGTGTAGCAGGCTGGGGAGTTACACTACCCAACATTCCAAAACAAACTCTGTATACATTGCCACATTTATGAGAAACATTCTGTCCATACCCATATATTTAAAAGGAGGAAGCTGGGTCTGTGATGGGAGGATAGAAACATTTCCCAAGGTCACAGATCATGGTCACACCAAGTACAACTCAGAGACTGAACTTCAAACTGAGTCCAGACCCCTAGATGAGTCTTTATCAAAGTGAGGGACGGGATAGGAATAGGCAAGAAATAGAGATAGTGCAGTTGGTTGATGTTCCCAGGCCTCTCAGTAGGAATAAATCTACTATCCAGACTCTGACACTTGGCACGTGTGTTTCACGTCTCTGCTACATGTGTCTGAGGTGGAACCTGACTCTCTGGAAGGCTGGCTTGCTCCTGCTTCCGCCCTTGGTCTCCAGGGTCAGCAGATAGAGAAGCCTAGGAGGTGTAGCCTCATGGTTAACCTCAGCTGTGAGGAGGAGTCATAGAGTTATTCTAGGACTTTCTTCATTAAGTCAAGGGTTACTCCAGCCTCAGAGTTTTATCCTTCATGAAGGGTCCAGATGCTTCCTGCTCCAAGCTGTAGAAACCTGAGGGGTCTCTCATGTGGAAAGCTGTGCTTCTTCCTCTTCTAAATAGACAGAGTAGTAGACGGGAGTTCTGATGAACTCATCGGCCTTGTAGAGTTAGCCTGAAGGCCTTGGCAGGCCATAGGAATGCAGGTCTCCCTGCTTGCTTATTACTCATCCCCTAAAACAGGGGGTTTGGGAACCTATGCCAGGTTAAGATTCCCTTACACTATTTGCCCTGAAGACTGTGTTCATGCACGCACACTAGCATGGGTGACAATGATCTTCATCCTGATCCTTGGAACTGACACATTCTGTAGCATCACCTGGGGACCCGTGGACACAGTCGTCATGTGAGCATGTGGCAGCAGCGGTGGTAGGAAGAATCTGCTGTGCCTACATCCCATAGGCACCTGGCCCATAACTGCAGGCCATGTGGCCAACCACAGTCATCATCTCAGTGAGTGTGCTCCCAGGCATCCTGAGACAGCACGCCTTTCATGGGGGACACGGGATGCCATCCTAACAGACCAACATTTCTACATTGTGTGTGTGGGAGGCGGGTAGCGAAGCCTCAGTAGGTGAGTTGGAAACCATAGAGACAGGAATGGGGTAAAGCCACGCACTCCAGCCTCGGAAGGGGGCTGTTGAGAGCTGCAGGCTCCTGCTGACATCTGTTTCCCATTTCTGTCTGCATCCAGCATGATCTACACCTTAGTAAGCTCCTAACTCAGACCCTGCTGATGGAGAGGCCGAGGCTGGGAACCACTGTGGCTGTGGCTAGAGAAGGACCAGATGGGGATGATGGAGACACCCAGCTCGGCAGAGACTGATTGGAAGGAACTGGAGTCACACGGCGGACAGGGCCTTGCTACCCATGTGTGTCAGTCGTTGCTGTGTGTGTTGCTGCCTTTGCTGTTCACATTCCACATGGATGGCAGTGCCCCTCTGAGCGTTGGGGGTGCCAGCTGGTAGCTGACGAAACCCGCAACCTCTGGAGCTGCAGTTGCTGCTTCTCTTCATCCACTTCACTGAGCGTTAGTGCCCTAAGTTCACACGGGCTGCCTGTCTGGATGGCAGGAATGAGGCTGGAAGCTAGACGCCACCAACGAAGGGACAGAGTGACCCGGGGTCAAGGCCAGGTCTTCAGAAACGATTGAGACCTTCATGGATACTAAGGACACCAAGACTCTTTTGTTCCAGAGCTATGGCCTCCAGCTTTGCTCATTGCAAGGCCCAAATCTGGGGTCTGCCCCAAGCCTGCTGCCATGTCATTTTAGGCTCTGTGTATGTCCAGGAGCCTAAGCAGTGACCTCCTGAGCTGGGTGTGGGGCAGCATGCTGGCAGCAAGTTATGTCCAGTGCAAACTGGGGAGGGGAGTGTGAGAAAAATGGATTTTTAAAATGGTTGCAACATGTCCCAGGTGTGAATTCTTCACCAGCCCCAAGATGTATTCTGCCTCTGCACCAAAATTCCATCAGAGTCATGACATGCCAATCAGCTGGCTGGCATGAGCCAAAGCCAAAAACAAACAAAACAAAATAAAAAAAAAAAAACAAGAAAAAAACCTCAAAACAGTGTGAAGCCCAGAAACAGAGAGCTGCTCTGTATGTGGTATGGACAGCCAGCAAACGAGACAGCAGAATTATCACTTCAATTGATGCTGCACAGCCTCGTGCTGCTCAGTTCAACGTGGGGACATCCGCTTATTTGAATTTTCCACTTGGCTTTTGCTCCTTTTCGGGTGGGAGTTGTATGAGGGGGTGTAAATAGTGACGAGGCTGAGATTTTTGTGATGTTTAAATTAGGCACAATGATTTTGACCTGATTTCCCAAACTTCCTTGCTTTTCTACCGTTACTCACAAAGTCATGCACAGACACACACAGACACACACACACACACACACACACACACACACACACGCTATTTACATATGCTCCCATCTGAATCCTGTGACTCAGGTTTTTGAATGGTGTTTGTGTAACACAGTGTGTGCTATGTTTAAAATGCAGCAACAACGTCAGTGGCTCACCTCACCGGCTCTTTCGTTTCATCCCGTCCCTGGTTGGATGTGTCTCCATATGGTTGGCAAACTAGTAGGTAGGAAAAACAGTTTCAAAATGACACCGTGTTTCTAAAAATTTTTACAGAAAACAAAATAGAGAGGGAAAAAATTAAAACTCACAAAGAAGAACAAAAACAAAATGCAGCTTCCCTGAGGGGCCGGCAGCATAAAAGCCTCTGCAACCATATTTGGGTGGAATGCCTTCCCGTGGCGGGTAACTTGTTGAGGCTGCATGGCCTCAGCTGGGTACCAGTCCCAGGATGGCTAGTTACAGCCAGCAAGAGGTGGGGTCTGGGTGGCAGGGGCAAAGCTAACTCCATCACCATCCTGCCAAAAACCAGCTGACATGGAGAAGGTAAGGAAGGGGTCTGTGGGCCCCTCCGGGTGAGTGTTTCATACTTCACCTTCTTCCAACGGGTCTTGAAGTAGCTTTTGACAGGGGGCACCAATATCAAAAATTGTTAACGTGGAACGGGGAAATTCATGCTCCAGGGCTTTGCGTGCTGTAGACGACCTTCCTAGCACAACCCTCCCCAAACCCAGCTGCTTTCCCAGTATTAAAGAGGGGGAACTTTGAAGATTTGCCTTTGAACCTGATGTCTGACTTAGAGAACACGCCCTTTCTGTCGCCCCCGTAGCTTGGGGTCCTGCTAAAGTTCAGCGGCGAGCACTGACTTTTATGAGAAAAGATTTGAAAGCGGACAGCTGCAGAGGGAGTGCTTGGGGGCATGGGTTCAAGGGAGGTGAGCGATTCTTCCCTCGGTCCTTTAAAGTCGTTCAAAGCTGCCAGTGCCTCTTGGGCAGTTCGTACCTATTTATGAAGGAAAAGCATTTCAAACTTTCCCCTGCTATCAGCTGTGATTGGGAAACAAGTCCAGTGATCTCATGGGAATTACAATTAATTTCCAGTCCCCCCGGAGAAGCTCGTTTTCCTGATGGTAAAAATCAGTTTGATGGGCTACTACCGATGGAGCGCAGGTGTGGGCCAGGTGCCTCGGTAAATGAGAGGAGCTGCGTGTAGACACACGCAGCTGCTGGGAGGCGTGGCCTTAGAACCATGCAGGCTTCTTCCCATGGAATTTTGCTTGCGTGGCTTTGTCTCTCATTGTACGCCCCATGAAAGGAAGGAACGAGCAAGACAGGCAAAAATGCCTCAAATTTCCCAGCGCCTCAAGAATTCATTTGTTGAGCAAGCTAGAACCCATGTACCACACACAGGTCAGGGTGCTTCAGGGGCATAGCTTGTGCCTGGGCTGGCCTGGAGTATGGGCCCTGTTTCCCTGCTGTAGTCCTGTGTGGCTGTGCGATGTGACCTGGATGGATGGTGGAGAGTCACATAAGGTCACCCTGTGCTGAGGCGAGAGGAGAATGTCAGGCTGCACCCTTTCTTGATGACGTCACATCTGCTATGCCTGATAATGGTGAGTACTCTATATAGGAAATTCTGCCCTGCCCTCTACCTGCTACCCAATGCCTCAGCTTCCTGCCAGCCATTCGATACACATCTCCTTCAGCCCTCACAATGATACTATGACGGAGGAACTATGACTGTCTTCACAGTCCTAGCTGAAAGCTCTGGAGCACAGTCTACAGCGGTCAAGGACTCAAGCCAAGGTCGCACTTGCCCAATTGCCAACCTTGAGTCTTTTTGCTTCCCGGGCCTTGACATTTTTGCTTTCCCAAAAGAGTGACGTAGTATACGAAGGGTGATGGATGGGATGTGGGAAAGAAAGAGGAAAAGGAGTGATGCTGGCCAGGACAGCAGCTGAGCAGCAGGCCTCGCATGTCTCACTACGAGCCACCTGGGGTGCCTGACTGCACTCGGTAGGATGGGTTGGCGATCTTTGTGATGCTTCTCTGAGATTCTGTTTCCTCATCTGTCACATGAGGGGCATGCTGCCTCCCATGGTTATGGTAAGTCAACTGTGTTTAGAGAGCTCATAGCACAGAGCCTGTCTCTACCAGCTTGACCCAGGAAATCTCATTCTCTGGTCTTCCCCACACTGTCCCTCCCTTCTCCCCACACTGCCCCTCTCTCCTTCCCACACTCTCCCTACCTCTTCCCCACACTGTTCCTTCCTCCTCCCCACACTTCCCCTCCTCCCACATTGCCCCTCCCTCCTCCCCACACTGCTCCTCCCTCCTCCCACACTGCCCCTCCCTCCTCCCACACTGCCCCTCTCTCCTCCCCACACTGCCCCTCTCTCCTCTCCACACTGCTCCTCCCTCCTCCCCAAACTGCCCTTCCCTCCTCCCCACACTGCTCCTCCCTCTGTGTCAGAGGATTATATAGAAAAATGAAACAAAACAACTAGATATCTCTCATAGTAGCAATGCTCAGCGAGTCCCAATTTTCTTCCTGTCCTCTCTCCTTCCTGGGAGTGGTGGTGGGGGCGGTGGCGACAATCCCAGCCATGCGACAGGGGTAACAGCTCAGCCTCAAGAAAAATATCCCCTCTGCTCCCTATTTTTAGGCTCGGTAATTGCACCAATGTTGAATAAAATTGTCATCGTTATGACAGTTTTATTCTCCCACGTAAGCGATGAATGCAGCCAGCAAAATGCTTTGACAACAATTAATTGCCCTCACACAGCGTTACCACACAGATCTGTTTTATAGCCCTTCTTTTGGGGGGACTTGGGCTGCTCACTTCCACACTATGCTCTGGCATGTGACTCTGTGTAGGCCCTTCCCCTGTTCCTTAGAGTCAAACAGGTCATCTCCCGGACGCTTCCCCTCCAAGGCTGAACCCCCAAATGAAGCACGGAAAGTGAGAAAGGAGGGATCGATTCCAGATCACTCTTACAGCAGGACTCTCCCTGGGAGATGAAGCTAAGCAAGGACTTCTTCAGGACACTGCCTGGCCGGTGATCCTGGGGAAAGTAGGGTACTTGTTTGGGAAGAAGAACATTCCTTCCTCACGGATAACTACATGTGATATCAAGGAAATGTCCAGCATATTCCTCACAGCTCTGTTAGGATAGGAAGACCTCAGTCAGAACTGGGGCGTGGGTCTCAGTTGCTGCATGATCCAGAAACAACCTCAACAAAATGACAACATTCAGACTTTGACCACTATGTGGCCATTCCTACCACCTCCCACACCCCATGTAGTTCTCCCCCAACTTTCCTGGATGACCCAAGAGACTTTTCTAGGTCTTGAATTTAGACCCTTGACCACCAGGTGGCCACCCTGTTTTCTCCTTTCCAGTGAACTGTGTATTCGAAGTGACTCATGGGGCTTCCAGGAACCAACTGTTCTGTTTTATAGGGAATTCGCCAGCAGTTCAGTGTGGCCACTCTTAACACCAAAGTTATGTAAGCTTAGATTAAGTGTGGGGAAGGCAAAGATGTTTAGTTGCAGGCCTACTTCCTAACACGCATTTAATATTCTGTGGGCTCTTCGTGTTCTAGCCGTCATGGCTGTGGCAGAACTGTGACTGCCATGTGATTGTGTGTTCCTGTTCGTTCGCTGATGTCATTAGTATGTGGAAATTGCCCATGATGAAAGTGTTCACACCGCAGAACTTGACAAATGGACATGTTAGATGTCCTGCTCTCTCTCCCTCTCCCCTACCCCCATCTGAGAGTGAGCTGAGCACTTATTAGCACACCCTGGTCCTCACTCTGGCACAGTTGTGTGACCATATCATGGGAGCCAGTAACCAAGGCGACAATAGCTGTATCTTCAATGCAGCAGTAGATACGCAGTGGCTGGTGGGTTCCGGGTCTGAGCACTTGATGGCACTGCCTTCATGACCAGGCCTGTCGTCCACTCTGGCTGTGACACCAGTGATGCTGTTACTGTTGTCCACTTGAAATCGTGGGGGGCTCATTCAGCTTTCTGTGAATTTGACAGATAGCTACCAGCTTATAAAGGGAAAGTTATTTTTGTCTCCTGGGTTTAGCGGTTTCTGTCCATGGTAATTTAGCCCCATCCATGACTTTGGGCTTCTGGTGGCACATCATGGTGGAAAGGAAGAGACTGGGGTCTTAGAGCCTCTTCTAAAGGTTTTACAGCTTCCCAATGGTGCCAATTCTGGGGACCTTTTTGGAGACACTAATGTCCAAACTACAAGGCAGGTGTGATGGCACAGGCTTACAATCCCAGCCCTCTGAGGCCGGAGTAGGAGAATCACGAGTTCAAGACAACCTGGGCTACACAGTGAGAGCCTGTCTTTAAAAAGAAATCAAGTTCAACAGCAGGAGGGCAACCCTTTAAGGTGCCCAGCACAGCAGGGAGTGGGGCTTGGGGCAGAGCTAAGATCAACCACACCCACTCGGCAAAGCATGAAAAAACGCTTTGATCCTCAAACCCTAGTCCCACTTTTCTTTGCTAACCTGGGGCCTTTGTTTTTCTTTTGAGGTGTTACTGCAGGGTCCCCATTCAAGTGGGGCCCATGCCTCCTCCTGGAGTACTGGGGTGGATAGAATCCATATTCTGCCGTGTAACATTGCCAAGATTCCTCCTCAGGGGCAGATGTAAGTTGCATCCACCCTCCTCGTAAGAGTCAACCAGGAACCAATTTCTCCAGGGAACCAATGAATTTATTGGGCTTCTTTACAGAGTATAGGTGAAGGGCTACTTACAGGAGTGTGGGTGCTCCACCCCCAGAATGCCACACCTGGAAAGCCTTTATCCATCAGGGGTGAATGCTTCCTCCTCCATAGCTGTAGATGAGGACCACCCCCCTTGCCGCTGCCACCTCACCCCATCTCAGCTACACTAACCTGTCTACTTCCTGTCAGAGAGCAGCTGGATATGCAGGTGAGAGTCTCGACTCTCCTCCATGTGCAGGAAGGGATGTAAACAAGCTCAGCTGGGATACTCCCGTTGCAAGGGTGCTCACCTGAAATCCCCAAGATGGCAGTTGCACGGCTGGGGGGCGGGGAAGTCACTCATAATAGACATCCACCTACCTCACTGGGTGGTCCAAACCAACAGAAAGAGAGCTTTGTAAGGTACCCG